TAATAGAATCTTTCGCCGCGCATGCATAACGAACCTGAAACCTATTATACTGATTTTCTAAGAACTTCTGTAGAGGTATAACTTATTTGAAATAGCTTAAGCCTTTACTTCAAGCAGTTAATTGAAGCAACTCTTAAGTGTTGCCCTACCGAAATTGTCTACACTTTGGAGTCCCGTCAAGCCATATTTAGATCATAAGATAATTCTGTGATATGGGTCTCTAAAAGGACTGCACTACGGATCCAATGGGACTGCAATTGAACGACTATATTGTCTTTTATATTCGCTCCCGTCGATGTTTATTACAATTTTAAGATTTCTAACTCTTGAACCGTTTAGATGAGTCATTGTGTCACTTAAGTCATGAATCATGCGTCAACTTTATTACCTTTATAATTTAGTCCATGGATACTTAATGCCACAAAAGTAATCAGGAGCGGATTGCTACCCTCTTACATGCATCTTTATGTAATCCTCGCTCTGATGCGGAGAAAGGTTGTAGGAAGGATGATAACTAACCCCGATGATGTGTGAAATAACTGAACAGAATGATGATTGGACTACAAAACGAATATTGTATTAAATAAATAAATAAATAAATAAAAGTCAGGAAAACCTATCCCGTTCCCCGAGAGAAAATTCTACTTATTGAAATCATAACAACTGTATTTGTCTACCGATTTCTCGACTCGTTTTCGTGTTTAATTATGAATTCTAAGATACGTTTTCTCCAAATGATTCTCCTTTGATCAATGAATAAGACTAAACGGAAGACAAATACTTCCCGACAACATTTTGAGCAAAGTCATTGTGATAGAGTTTATTATATATGTCTCTCTACTGATGCGGATGGATGAACCAAAGCATCCACAAAATGCTATCTAAACGACGCTGCATTTCACTCTGCGACATATATCAAGTAGCTTTTCCAGAAAATATTGAAAACTTAAGTAAATTCAGAAAAAGGTATCTAAAAATGTTTAGAATAAAGTAGGGACTTTCAATAACTTGCAATCCTCTAGGCTATTGAATAGAGGTTTAAGAGAAAAAAATTGGTTTCTTGGTTACATTAATGTTTACTGCAGTCGGATCTAAAAATACCAATCAAATATAAAGTGCAAGTTATAAGAAAAATTTTCCTTCCAGCGATGTTTTAAAGAGTGCAAAACTAGAAGGTTTAAATGTCACCATTTTGTAAAATTCCGTGTATGAAACATTTATTGAAAAAAATTGGTTTTCATTCGTGCTACACTTTCATAAGATTACTTTTCTTATTCTTCAATGATTGTTTTAGCTACCTTGAGCATCTATGCAACCTGTGGTTGTTTCAGAATAACCAATGAGACTGATCCCTACTGTTAATTTGATTTTATGCACATTGTCAAGTTAACAGGTACAAAGATATAGTATATCATGCCACTAAAATTCGTGTAAAACCTGCTGCTTAAGATGGCAGATCAAATATTGGTAGCAAATACGCAGAAAGTTTGCCGTACTTTTGTGTTTGAGAATATTTCCTTGAGCATTATTAGTTCGATAATTTTAATTTTCCTTATTGTCCTATTTAGGGATTGTTCAAAGCTGACGTAACATTCTTTTTTGGAATGCTACTTCACATAATCCTATTCGAAGCGGCAGCCTTTATGAACTTATATTACTTTGGCAGAAACTGGATCACTTTATTGCTATCCGTGGCACTTTACACAGTTGCTCAAGTGAGTCCGTGAATTTCATCTTATGAATGCACCCTCCCCCCCAAAAAAGGTGAACTTTAAAAAAACATCAAACTTATTTTCATCGGTGTTATTTACTGTAAAGTACTTTGGTATTTCCTATTTTGGAGTTTAGTATTCAACAATATTTGAGCCACGCGTTTGATTTTCCAAACATCCGCTGTGTTAATATTTATTGTCTCATGCCAGTGAGCAGTATTTCATCTAGGTTCTAGTTCCCTTTGTGCTTCTCATTTTACCAAGGAGACCTATCGAGAGTTGTTTCAAAAATTCATCGGACTATTCAGTATTATGGAATCTAACTCATGTGTCTCAAGATAAAATAATGAGTTGATTCTGGTAATCTCACTATACTCGCCTGTAAATACTGTACATTCAATGAGATTAAGTTTATTTTTACATACATTTATATGTTTTTTAAACATTTTCAAACAATATACTTAAAGTTTTAAACCCTAACGGTCTTGAAAAGTTGCAGAGCATTGGGAAAGTGAAAAATGCTTCAATTAATTACTTGAGCTGAGCTGGATCCTAAGAAAACAAATATCTGATTAGTAGATTTTCTCACGGATAAAGTGACTAGAGGGTTCAATAAAATGTTATTGTTGCAATCATGAACAGAAAGAGACAACAGATGTTAGACCTAAGATGGCTGTTTGTATTTGTCGTTCACTGATGTAACCGTTCTCAAAAGTTTATTTTATTTTTGCTCTAATAACTTAGGTAACGTGGTCTAAATAATTCATATGTACATCTCACCTCAACAAAATAATACCTTTCAAAAATCAATTGTTTTAATAACTAATCTTTAGCAGCCTTGAATCAGATCAACACAAAAGAGGTAACTAGGTTCCTGTAAAGCGCATTTTACCAGATGAGCAACCTAATCAAAGCAAAACTTTTTTTCTTGATTTTTCATCACACAACTCAAAAATTATATTGACAATGAAGTTTAGGTAATTTTTCTAACCAATAGACTGTCCGGTGAAATTTGGCTGATTGTAAGAAGTTTTTTTGTTCTGGGATCTTATCACGTTTGTTTTATGTTTCCGTATTTTGAGTGGACGAGGAAGTATAAGAAGAGGGCTATAAATGCACCCTTGTAGCTCATTTGTTCGAAAGTTCCTAGCGTAAATGCTTATGTGAAATTCATGCAAACACATTGCACCAATGCATTTGGATCAGGTAAAATTATATATGCTGACCTTAATGAGCTTCACCATTTTAGTGTTAAAAAAGAATAGTTTTGCACAAATTATTTTTTAAAAGACTAAAGTTTTATTGATCCATTTTGCTTTGGTACTCACAGCCTGAAACGAGTGTCAAATCTTTCATAGCATAAGCAAACAAGTAGACTTATTTCTTATAATGGGACGGCTTAAAAGATCAATTTTTGTCTAATCCTTAACAAATGGATTTTCCAATCTTTTTTAAAAACAAACACTCAATTTCTTGAGTTAAACATAAGCACCCCGGTTGACTTAATTTCAGTGAACTAAACCTGTGATAGTTGCATTAGGGGGATTAAATTGAAGGAAGTTATTGTTGATTTATCTGTAATTCAGTCAAATTGCAATATAAATAAAGCAGACTAAAAAAATACTTTTACCGCTAGTTCATTGATCGCTATACATAATGTTTTGAAAATGCAGTTTAAGAAAACTCCTGGCACACAATAATCACTCAAAAAGTCATTGTGAACATTCGACTGGTAGTAAATCATTAGAACAGTCTGGTCGATAATGAAAAATAACTAGAAAATTTCATCAAAATTGGTTTCACTGGGGGAACGTTAAAGTGCATGCCAGCAAAAGAAAATTATTCGGGTGAAATCTATTCATTTATAAACTAGTAACTGTTAAATATTGATATCAGGTTGTTTATAAGCAATTCATAATCGAATTATAACGTCCGTCCGCTCCACAATTTTCTGATTGAAATTGTTATGTAACCAACCAGTTTTTGGTTTATATATTTCATTACACCGGTCTTTGGTCACAATTCGTTCTGCGTTGAACACCAAACATAAAGCAACATTAAAGAACCAACCCTAAAGTCACAAAGACCAGTTGATCAGAAGACTCATTCTAACGTTAACTTGAATAAAATGGTCTCAACTTATTCTGATGACGGACATCTACATATATCTTCTTATGTTTAGTATGATGGAACCAGAAGTCTTTTTGAATAAGCCCTATTAGAATCTAAATGTTTATCATGGCTCTGTATTTTTCCCATTCTTCTAATAGTCCTAACTAGTTGTGTGCACTGTTTCATACACAAACTCCTGGTTAAAAAGTGTAATGTAATACTTATAAAATTATGAA